TTTGTCACTTCTAAAATGTTATATAAATGAAACCACACAGAATATAAGCTTTTGGACTGGATTTTTTTTTTTTCAGTATAACCTAGCAACTCATCCATGTTGTTGTATGTATCAACAGTTTGCTCCTGCTGCCTAGTAGTATTCAATAATATAGAAGTACCATAGTTTAACTCTATACCTGTTGAAGGACATTTGAATTATTTCCAGTTTTTGGCTATTATGAATTAAGCTGCTATGAACATGTGTGTATAGATATTAAAATGCCTATATGGAATTAGCTACCACAAACTGGGGGCTAGGAGTGCTTATTGAGTCCATCATTGTTTCTAAGGGCTTTTCAGTGGAATTAGGATATGCTTTAAAAAAAATCCTCACCAAAAAAAAAAAAAAAATCCTCACTTGAGGATATTATATTCATTGATTTTATTTATTTATTTATTTATTTATTTATTTTTAAACATGATAAACTCATTTTTTAAAGTATTTTTTAAATTGATTTCAGAGAGGAAGGGAGAGGGAGAGATAGATAGAAACATCAATGATGAGAGAGAATCATTGATTGGCTGCCTCCTACACACCCCCAACTGGGGACTGAGCCTGCAACCCAGGCATGTGCCCTTGACCGGAACTGAACCTGGGACCTTTCAGTCTGCAAGCCGACACTCTATCCATTGAGCCAAACCAGCTAGGGCTGTTCATTGATTTCAGAGAAAGAGGAGGAGAGAGAAACATCCATGGGCTGCCTGTTGTACACACCTCGACTGGGAGTTGAACCTGAAACTTAAGTATGTGTCCTAACTGGGAATCAAACCCGCAACCTTTTGGTGCATGGGACGATTCTCCAACCAATTGAACCACGCTGTCAGGGCAGGACATGCTTTTTATTTTTATTTTTTATTTCAGTGAGGAAGGGAGAGGGAGAGAGAGATAGAAATATCAATGATGAGAGAGAAGCATTGATTGGCTGCCTCCTGCATGCCCACTACTGGGGATCGAGCCCACAACCCGGGCATGTGCCCTTGACTGGAATAGAACCTGGGACTTTTCAGTCCGTAGGCCGACACTCTATCCATTGAGCCAAACTGGCTAGGGCAGGATATGCTTTTTAATTTAAGCTAAAATATGCCATGACTTCATACAGTTACTTCCTAATTAAATCAAGACTACAGGGAATTTGCATAAATCACTGATTTTAGATTTGCATCTTTTTTCCTGTTATAATACAAATCTACATAATTATTTCTTCCCATTTTTTTATTATGGTAAAATATGCATAAAATTTAACATCTTAACCATTTTTAAGTATACATTTGTGTTATTAAATATATTCATAATGTTGTGCAACTATCACCACAATCCATCTCCATAACTTTTTTTTTTAAATCCTCACTCGATATTTTTCCATTGATTTTTAGAGAGAGTGAAAGAGAGAAGGAAAGACAGAGAGAAGGAAAGACAGAAAGAAATACTGATTGCACACACCCTGACCATGGCCCAGGCTGGGGAGGAGCCTGCAACCCAGTACGTGCCCTTGACTGGAATTGAACCAGGGACCGTTAGGTCCACAGGTCAACGCTCTATCCACTGTACCAAACTGGCTAGGGCTCCATAACTCTTTTCATCTTGTAAAATTGAAACTCTATACCAGCAATTTTCAACTAGTATGCCACAATAATTTTTAAAACATGCAATACCTACTTAGTCAGGGGCACTGACCTCTTTTCCCTTATATTGTCAAATTAAAAGAAATGACAATAGCTGTCCAATGTGAGTGAATCAAAATTATACCTACTTTTTTTGTCAGATCGGCAAAAAATATCAAAAAATATAATATATATTTTGGCATGCTGCAGAATTTTAGTAATTAACTTGGGTGTCATGAGATGAAAAATGTTGAAAATCACTGCTCTATGCTCATTAAATAACTTCCCATTTCTCCCTCTTCCTCCCCATCCCTTGGTAACCACCATTCTACTGTCTGTCTTTATGGTTTTAACTAGTCTAAATACCTTATAAAAGGTATTTAGTTGTCTTATTTTTGACAGTCAATATTATTTTATATTAGTTTCAGGTGTACAGCATAGTAGTTGATTATATATTTATGAAGTGATCCCAACATAATTGTTTTAGCCTACACACTTTCACCGATTCTCCACAATATGACTACTGAATACAATTTAAGATTTTACGGCAGTTTTCTGTTGTTGTTAATCCTCACTCAAGGATATTTTTCCATTGATCTTCTAGAGTGGAAGAGAGAGGGAAAGACAGAGAAACATCGATGTGAAAGAAACACATTGTTTGGTTGCCTCCTGCATGGGCCCTGACCAGAGCCTGAGATGGGAGAAGCCTGCAACTAAAGGATGTGCCCTTGACCAGGATAGAAAATGGGACCCTTTGGTCCGCAGGCCAACACTCTATCCACTGAGCCAAGCCGGCTAGGGCTGGCAGTTAATTTTGTCTTTTGGGTAGATCTTTGGATGTATAGTTAAATCTGTGTTTTGAAGTCATTCAGTTTCCTTCTGTGCAGTTAGGCCACCAACTAGATATACATTTAGGTTCATTTGTTCCTTTTACTTTTGACTTTCAGGGATTGATTTTTTTTTTTAATATATTTTGATTTTTTACAGAGAGGAAGGGAGAGAGATAGAGAGTTAGAAACATCGATCAGCTGCCTCCTGCACATCTCCCACTGGGGATGTGCCCGCAACCCAGGTACATGCCCTTGACCGGAATCGAACCTGGGACCTTTCAGTCCGCAGGCCGACGCTCTATCCACTGAGCCAAACCGGTTTCGGCCAGGGATTGATTTTTTTTTTTTTATATATTTTATTGATTTTTTACAGAGAGGAAGGGAGAGAGAGATAGAGAGTTAGAAACATCGATGAGAGAGAAACACCCATCAGCTGCCTCCTGCACATCTCCTACTGGGGATGTGCCCGCAGCCCAGGCACATGCCCTTGACCGGAATCGAACCTGGGACCTTTCAGTCCGCAGGCCAACGCTCTATCCACTGAGCCAAACCGGTTTCGGCAAGGGATTGATTTTTTGAAAATTAATTTTTATCATACAATCATGTAAAACATAGATTTCCGAAGTCAAATGCACAAAGTATATTCAAAAGTCTTGTTTTTTCCCTTCATTCTATTCTCTCCTTTCCAAGCTAAATAACCATTAAAAAATTTAAATGTAGCCCAAACTGGTTTGGCTCAGTGGATAGAGCGTCGGCCTGCGGACTGAAAGGTCCCGGGTTCGATTCCGGTCAGGGGCATGTACCTTGGTTGCGGGCACATCCCCAGTGGGAGGTGTGCAGGAGGCAGCTGATCGATGTTTCTAACTCTCTATCTCTCTCCCTTCCTCTCTGTAAAAAATCAATAAAATATATTTAAAAAAAATTTAAATGTATACTTACACTTTTAAAAAATGTAAGTATTTATTTACATTTGTACCTCCCTACTCCCTTTTACAAATAAAGAGTAGAGGGAGCCCTAGCTCGTTTGGCCTGCGGACTGGAGGGTCCCAGGTTCGATTCTGGTTAAGGGCACATGCCTGGGTTTCAGGCTTGATCCCCAATAGTGGGTGTGCAGGAGGCAGCCGATCAATGATTCTCTTTCATCATTGATGTTTCTGTCTCTCTCTCCCTCTCCTTTCCTTTCTGAAACCAATAAAAATATTTTTAAAAAAGAGGAGAGGAAATGGGCATACTTTCTTATTCTCAACTTTAACAGGTAAGCAAGCCCTTGCTGTTTCGCCACTGAGATCCTCAAAAACTTTTTTTGTAAAATGAAGGCAATACTATCCATTCTATCTGATCTTCCACACCATTTCGTGGGAAGATGAAGGATGTGAAAAGTGGTACACAAACATACCTGTTTACTTATATTGAACCATTTTTGGGAGAACCTTGAGTCCTGGATCCAATTTAGTACGTTTAACACAAGAACAGAGGCTCACAGAGTCCAGAGGCCCTGCCCAAGGTACGCAGGGAATAAGCGAGAGCTCCAGTCATCTGCCTTGCAGTCCAGGGGTCCGATGCATCCACCAAGCTCTTCTTTTTTAAAACTGTACTCAAGCCTTCTCTCTCTCTCCACCGAGGTGCGTGCAGTTTGCTTCTCCTTTGCCATGTCTTCCCACAGGACTTTCAGATCAAGAGGTTCCTGGCCAAGAAACAAAAGCAGAATCGGCCCATTCCCCAAAGGATTCTGATGAAAACTGGTAATAAAATCAGGTACAACTTGAAGAGGAGACAGTGGAGAAGAACCAAACAGGGTCTATGAGGAATCACACATGGGAGATGGCTCACATATTTATGCTGTATCCAGGTTGTCTGCACCCTTAAGTGATTGAAAAGATCACTACTGTCTGGACAGTTGGGGCATTTTAATCGGGAAATTATTGGACTCATGATTTTGCTCTGTTGATTTTATTTTCTGCAGTAGTAGGTTGGTTCAGTAATAAACGTGAGACCTTTTAAACTGCAAAAAAAATAAAAACTGTACTCCACATATAAATACCTGTTTTTATAGAAAGGAGTATTTTAGGAGACGCTCGAAAAGGAAAAAGTAACAAAAAGCCTCAAGGCTGAGTGAGGCAGCTGATGCTCAAGCAACCACTAGCGCCCGGAGTCCCAGGCGGGAGCGGGCGGCTGGTGGGCGAGCGCTGCCCTCACTCAGCTGGCAGCTCCGGCCCAGCGCGGAGGCGACGGGGACCTGGAGACGCAGTGACGGCGCCGCGTAGGGGCCCAATGCGAGGACGCTGGGCAGTGGAGTTAAAGCTGCCCCATGGGGCACCCCGACAGGAGGGCTGACATACTCCGGACTCCAGGGGAGGAGTCCGCCAGGAAAGGGCGCCAAGGCGGAGCTTCCGAAAGGAGAAATGGTACTGATGAGGATCCGTAGAGCTTCCACGGCTCCTGCTCTAACATCCCGGCCGCGGGGCGGGGCGGAAGTTGGCCCGCAGGGGCCGCCGGGAAACCAGGGGAGGAGCAACAAGGATGACGCTGGGGAGCGTAACAGGGCGGGGCGAGGGCTTGCCTCCCCGCCCGCTGGGTCGGGCTAACGGCTTCCGGTCCCGATGTCTGGGAGGGGCCGGGGAGAGGCGGTGCCCCGCAGCCGCTCCAAGATGATGGGCTGCGAGGAATCAGAGCTGAAGTCGGGAGAAGGGGAGGCGGTCGTAGCGGCCCCGGGGCCACCCCCGGAACCCCGCGCCCCGGAGCCCGGAGCCCCCGTGCCCGAGCCAGGCCTGGATCTCAGCCTGAGCCTGAGCCCGAGCCCGCGGTCCGAGAGCCCCGAGCCGCCGAACTGCAGCCCGGGGCGGGGGAAGGGGCGGGCAAACCGGCGGGGCGGGGCCCGCAAGGAGCGGCAGGTGAGCTGGCGGAAGGCCTGGCCGGCAGCCCGCCGACCGCCCCGCTCCCCCTCCTTCACCTCCCTGCTCTCTGCCCCCAGGTCCGTTTCCGCCTGGCGCCACCCTCCCCGGTCCGGGCCCAGCCGCTGCCCGTCCCTGCCGCACCGGGCGAGAAGCCCGCGGCGTCGCAGGACCTGGGTGCGCCCGCGTCGCACAGCAGCCTGGCTCTGAGCCTCGAGCTGCAGGCCGCGCGGGCCGCAGCCGCGGGCCAGTTCGACGCCGCGAAGGCGGTGGAGGAACAGCTGAGAAAGTCGTTCCAGACCCGCTGTGCCCTGGAGGAGAGCGTGGCCGAGGGTGAGGGGGGGGCAGCTGGCAGGCCGGGCGCGGGAGTTGGGGTGAGAGGCGCGGCTCACCTCCGCTCCCCCTGCGTCTCAGGACTGAACGTGCCGCGCTCCAAGCGGCTTTTCCGCGACCTGGTGAGCCTGCAGGTGCCCGAGGAGCAGGTTCTGAGCGCGGCGCTGAGGGAGAGGCTGGCGCTCCTGCCCCCGCAGGCCCGAGCCCCGCCTCCGAAGGTGAGGGCCTGGGCCGGAGTCCCCTCCCGTGTTCCCTGCCCTTGGCCGCCGGCTTCTTCCCTCTCCGAGTGTAACCTGGCTTTGGACTCCAATTCCGACAGGAGCCCCCTGGGCCAGGGCCGGACATGACGATGCTGTGTGACCCAGAAACGTTATTTTATGAATTTCCACACCTGACCCTGGACAGTCTGCCCGCTCTCCGCCTTCAGCCCCGGCCCCGCCCTTCGGAGGATACCTTCCTCATGCATCGAACGCTAAGGCGATGGGAAGTGTAGACCAGGAGGCGCCCGGAATTGCTTGTATTTTTTTGTTGAAAGTAACATAATAAAGTGGTTTTGCTAACAACTGGGGACTTTTCTTGGAAGGCTTAAGATGGAAAGCTGTAGGCTAGAAGCTGCCTGGAAGCCAAGTGTTTTGGCCCCTTCTTTAAGGAACTCCGTAATGACCAGTAGAAAACACTGGTCCAAGTAAGAGGTTTAGTTTTCATTCTTTTAATCCTCACCTTAGGATGTTTACTGATTTTTAGAGAGGATAGGAGAAACATCCGACTGGTTGCCTCTAGTAAGCGCCAGACTGGGAATGAACTCCCCACCTTTCAGTGTAGGAGTCCCCAGCCCAGTGAGCCACACTAGCTGGAGCCAAGTCAGGGGTGAGGTACCCTCCCCACATCTTCCTGATTGCAGTCACACCTGCCACCTTTGTTATGATACCACACTTGTTTCTTTGCACCACTTATTTCTGATCTCTTCATGTGGATCTCAGCCTGCATGTTACCTGACTGGGAACCTGGTAAGGCAGCTACTAGCATTTATCTAAATTATCTCCTTGCTTTTACCTTCAAGGGCCTTGCCCATCTTCACACCTGACCAGAGTAAATACTTGACAAGCCACTGAATAGCTACATGTTAAGTTAAACTGCCTATTAGCTGGTTCCACAGCATCAAAAAGAGGGTGGATGGTAGGGAGGTCCTAGAGCAGGGAGTCCCTCCGGTCCAAAGTGTCTTTTTCTAGCTCCACTTCAACTCTACTGTTAAATCCCAAAGTTAGCCTTCTGCCAAAGCTTCCACAAAAAAACCTGTCAATGGTTTTTTTTTTTTTTTGGCGGGGGCGGGGGGGGGGGGGGGAGATGGGCTTTTCAAGTTTCACATCAAAATTTGCATCATACCCTTTTTCCTGACTAGGGTCCTATATAGTTGTGTGTAGATGTAGCAATCCACCATCTTCCCAATCATTGAAAAACCTTGAGAGTAGTTTAGACAGAGGAAGCACAGGTTGTACTGGGAGGCACCATCCCTTCCCACCAGTTAAAAAGTGCCAGACAGCCTGGCCTGTGTGGCCCCGTGGTTGAGCATCGAACTATGAACCAAGAGGTCACAGATCGATTCCCGGTCAGGGCATTTGCCTGGGTTGCAGGATTCCCTATGTAGGGTGTGCAGGAAGCAAGTCAATCAACGATTCTCATCATTGATGTTTCTCTCCCTTCCTCTCTTTGAAATAAAATATATATATACACAAAAGTGCCAGACATAGGTGTGGGGGCCATTGCCCTAAACATCGTTTATTGTGCTGTTCTTACATTCCAAACCCAACCCCCTCTCCCATGGGGGACAGCAGAGGGATTTTCACAGTACCTGCATGCCTCCCCATCAAGCTTCCCCCTCTTAAGCCTCAGTCCCTCTATCATGTGGTCCACTGAAACGTAGGCAGGGACAAGGGCTGAGGAGAATGGGAATTTCTCCTTGGAAGGACAGGAGGAAGAGCCCAGAGAACTTGATAACTCCCCACCTCCTGTGCCCTAGGAGAACAGAGATCAGCAAACAGTCCATGCCATCCAGCCAGTGGGCTGGGGGAAGAGGAAGATGGCGGTAACTCCAGAACAGCTGGGCTTGCTGCTTAGGTACCAGAGGTATAGGGAGGAGGCTGGGGCAGCAACACAGGAAAAGCTTTCTATGCAGATCCAAGAAAGGAAACTTTTGGAGCCAGAAAGGAAAGACTGCGGGATATTTTCTTTCCCCAGGTCCTTAAGAGCAGCGGGCAGCTTCTTCACACTTTCTGTTCAAGGGGCCATTCAGTGGCTGGGGGAACGGGCCTTGTGGAACAGGTACACAGGACGCTGGAAGCCTAAGAGGAGAGTGTGCAATCAGGAGGGATGGGCAGGACCTCAAGACTCCACAGGGTCTGTACCTTCTCCCTCAGGACTGGCCTCCCTCCCCCACCAAAATAAGCCAGACTTACCTTTGAAGGTGCTGTGGGGTGTGGCCACAAGCTCATAGCTGGAAAAGCCCACTTCTGGGGATGTCAGGTAGGAACTGAACTGCTCTGGCTTCAGCTGGATTCGATAATAGTTCTTGTAGGTTGTTTCCTAGGGAGAAGAGCAGGGACCACTCAGCTTGCTGCCTTCTCCCTGCCAGAGAATGATGCCCACCCAGGGGATCTTTTCACCTTGTTCTGAAAGTCCTCTTTCCACTTCTTTGGGGTCTTTCTTGCCTCAACTAAAGGACATACCAATTTTCACTTAAATACCAACTCACTGTGAGAGTCTTTCTCTTGGCGTAGGTTGACCAAGGTTGGGGTTCGAGGATCAAGATGCCCCCAGGGCGTAGGTGCCGGTAGATCCGTCGAAACATTCGCTTCAGTCCCTCGTCTCCCCAGTTCAGATGTACCCACTTGGTAAGGCTGAGGCAGAGCACCACGTCATACTCAGGTGTTTGGGCGTCCACCAGCTCATCTCGATCCAGCACATAGTTACCCTGAGGGAGAGGTCAACAGCGGCATTAAAAGAACTATGAACCCACACATTCAATCTGCAGCCTCACTTTATAGCCCTTGGCCACAATCATCTTTGATACCACCAGTATCACTTTTTTGCATGCTATTGGTGGTAAACCAAACATAAAGAAGCCTCACAAGATCTCCAAAGTTGGGGTGAAACTGCCGAGAAAGAATGCTAGAGTTCCTCCAAGACGCTGTCCATTAAGCCGAGCGACTCAATGGGACCTAACCCAGATTTGAAAGGGAGACCTGTGGTTCCTTCTCAATAGTTGGGGCTGGCAAAGTTTTAGGATTGTTCTTTCCAGAGAAGAGACCATCCCTAAGGAAATTTTTTTCTAGATAAGCTAGAAAAAAGTCCATTTTCCAACACTACTCCTGCAGATGGCGAATTGGAGTGTTTCATGAGGAGCTATGTGCAGGCAGTCAGGACACAGACGCTGAAGGCATGTTACCCTCCCCTCCTGCAGAGGACTCTGACTCTTCTCCATCCTATTATCTAGGGTCAATGTGGAGATGATCCAAGGCCAAGCACTTGGGTTCCTGACCACCGACACTCTTCAACTCTATATCATATGCAAACTAAGTCCCTACCAATGGAGAGAAACTGCAAGTATTAGCCACTATCCTAATCCTCCCTCCCCCCTGAGACATTCCATGTCTGATACCCATCCCTTCATGCACCTTCAGGAGGTTAGAGGACAAGTTTCCATGTGGACCAGATCCCCAAGTGAGCATCAGCAGTAGCCCCCTAGAGAAGGTGGACTGGCCTGGATTACAGTCCAGGTAGGGAGGAGGGCAAAAGGGGTCAGATCCCATTTTGGGGCTAGGAGTCACAAGAAAGGAACCCAGGTAGAGCTTCCACCTTTCCAGGTTATAGGAAGGGACACCCAGTGGATTCAGACCCTTCTCTTGAGGATCTGGTTCTCCTGGTGTGGACTGCATATACAGAAATCCCTCTGGCGCATAACCTTCCCGTCACATTATTTAATCTCATCCTCAGACCTGGGCCCTATCCCAAGACCCTCTTACCGTAACGAAGACAACATTGTTGGGGAAGACTGATGTGTCTGCTCCATCCAAGGGCACTTGGGGTGCAGCAATGGGACCCCGGCTTGCTGTCAGTGAGGCTGGGAAGCAGGTCCTCTTTCGAACGGTTTTGATCCCTTCCTCACTCTCTGCCCCTGGGTCCCCCTCAGCAGTCTGGGCTTGCAGACGCAGCTCCTCTGACAGGTAGTGTCGGATGTTTTGGCGGGCCGAGTGGATGAGTTGGGCATCAATATCCAGGCCTACCATGCGGGATGGTCCCCACTTACAGGCAATGCTCAGGGTCACATGGCCCACATTGCAGCCCAGATCTAGGACGTCCCGACCCTTAAACCACTCAGGCTTCAACACCCGAAGGCGCCCATCCTCACAGGAAGGATTTCGGTACCCATAGTACTTGCAGTAATTCCCATACTGGAACTTGCGCTGTTGCTTTTTGAAACCTGCTGCAGGTAGTGGGTGGAGGTGGTGGCGGCCTCCCCCACTCCCTCGGCCCTTTTCCTTGGGACCCTGGCTTCCTCCACTCCTAGCCCCTGCCTCTGACTTGCTGGAAGTCCTGCGACGTTTTCGATGTCGTGAGGAGGAAGACGGGGGTGCAGAGGTAATTGAGGCAGCTGAAGAGGCTGAGAGGGAGCCTGAGGGACCCGGTAGGGCAGACGGAAGGGGAGACACGACCTCGGAAGGGGAGACACGACCTCATCCCTGCAGTTGATGGCCGTGTTGAGTTCATAGGGCTGGGGGGCATGCCGTTGCTGCTGTGTGGTGCCCTCCCCATGGAGTGAGGGAGTGGGGGGAGCTGTGGGCAGCACCGAGTGGCCATCAATCCCTCCAGTTGCCTGCTGCTGCTGGTGGTGCTGTCCCCGGTGTCTATGTCGCTTCCGACCAGTCTTGAGTGGTGAAGCAAGAACTACTTGGGCCTCATCAGTGCAAGTATTGAGACTCAGTGGGTCAGTAATATCTTTGGGGATGAGAATCTCCACTGGATCTCGCCCCTTGGCCGGAAGCGGGGATGACTTAGGGGTCTCAGCATTGAGTGCGCGGCTCACTTCCTCATCCAGGAGACTATTCAGGTTCAGTGGATCAAAGATATTGCCCCCCAGGAGGAAGTTGGAAGGTAACACAGAGTCACAGTCCGAATTAACCCGCCTGCGCCTCTTGAAGGCCGGATGTTTGAAGCCTCCACCACCTCCCCCTACATTGCAGCTATTTCTCCTCTTGCCCCCACCTCCCCCAGGGGGCCGGTGGGGCTGATAGCCGTTCCGGGGTCGAGGCGGGGCAGGGGGTCCCAGTTCTGTTCCACCCCCTCCCCGTCGCTCCTCCCCCAGCTCCGGGGGAGCGGCTCGCCCGTGGGGATCCGACAAGCGGGCCTCCCCGTGCGTGTGGAGGCCGCCCCCTCGTTGCTGCTGCGACTGGCTGACCCGAGGCTGGGCAGTAGCCCCGGGGCTCTCCTTGCCCGCTCCAGAAGCCAAGACCCCGGCTGGTTGTGCTCGCGGGCCAGGCCCACGCTGCGTACCGCCGCGGAGCTCCCCGGAGGCGGGCTCTCGGTGCGGCTGCACCGTGGGGCTGCCCCCTCCGCCTGACTCCTCTTTGAGCGGCGGCGGCGGGGCAGGTACCAGAAACGGCTCCTTCTCCGCCGCCATCTCTATCATTTCCTCCCCTTATTCCGTCCCAGTCGAGGGCTAAGAGGGTGGACCAGGGGGCTTAACCCCCCCCCTTCCTACACCCGCTCCCTTCCCCCCTTCCCTGGGTGCGCGCGCAGCTCCTCTAGCCTAGTCTCGCGCCCTAGCGCCTCCCCCGAAGCGCGGCCCCCTCGCCTACGAGACCAAAACAAGATGCCCGCGAGACCCGAACTCCAGGAACCAACCGCGCGTGCGCCGACCCTGCTCCTCCACCACTACCGCTTTGCCGAGAGCGCGCACAGCCGAAGCGCGTTCCTCTCGCCCCAGAATCACGCATGCGCACTCTGCCGCCACCCTAGTCGCGCGCGCATCCGAGTACGAACCAACTTAACGGCTCCGGGAGTTTAAATATAGCTCCCTGTAATCCCCCCCAAAAGCCCACCACCCCAAATTGACACCCTACTTCCCTTCGCAGCTATGTTCGTCCCTACTGATATCCTTTGTCTCTGCCGCGCGAACCCACCCACCGTAGGCGGGGACGGGGAGCTGGTGTGAAAAGGTCTCCTTGACACCCGACCCTTGTTCCTGAGGAATGAGTCTCAGCGGTCTCCGCCCGGCTCTAAACCCAACAAGCTCCCTACCCCGCCTCCTTCCTCCCCCTAGCGGGGAGCGCCTGCGCACATCCTTTTGGGCTTGCGCGGGTTGATGCAGCACGTGCTGAGGGCGGTGCCCCGCCCTCCGTCCTAGGGGCGGGGACTGTTACGTCGCTTCCCCAGGTTTGGTACACGTAACGTGCGTTAGCACGATTGGGAGGGGCGTGGCTAAGGAACGGGTAGGCCCTCATGAATTATTCATGACTGGTCTCCGTTTGCCCACCTACTTAGAAGGGCTGGGGGGAACGAAGGGGGGGGAACCTTAAAAGTAGAGGAAGGAGCGAGTGTACTGACCGTCTTCCTACGAGCTGTTCTCAGTAAAATACGATAAGTCATTTTAACTCACCCCCCTGGAAAATAGTCACTGCTGAACTGAAAAAAAAATCACTAAAACAGCTGATGTCCAACTTCCTCTTCCAACGAAATGGCCGAGTAGTCCTCTTGCTCCTCAGCCTTCTAATCGCGATCACCTGAGGACACCACGCCCTTCCCTCCGACTTCCAAAGCCCCGATACCAACGCCCCCGTACCCCACCGGACTCCTGAGCGCTCGATCCCCTAGCCCGAGGATTGCGACCCTATGCCCACCACAGCCACCAATAGCAATACATTCACCACTACCGCCAGCTCGCACGCAGGCCTTCCGAGCGCACGCTGCGGCTTCTCGCCGCCTTATAGATAAACGGGTGTGGGTGGGGAAGAGGTTTAGGCTTGGTTGCCCTTGCCTCGGCCAATGAGGAGGAAGCTATTTGACGCCCATTCTACTGGGTGCAAGGCGGCCCGTTCTCCCAACAGTGCTGGGGTGCGGGCCCTGTTGCACCCCAGAGGGTGGGAGAGTCGAGAATGGGGAGGAGAGTCTCAAACAAAATATTAAAATACGGGTGCGAAGGAGACTAAAAGGAATAATAGGAATCAGGGAACGAAGAGGAAAAGACAGCTTGGGGCAGAGAAAAATTAGTAAAAGAAAGATGTGGTTCATTAACGATCAGGCACTGCTGTGGACGCCTAAAGGAAAAAGTGAGGCCATCTAGGATTATGGGATTTGTAGTTTTACAGGGCGTTAGCGTGGAAGATGGCGACATTCAGCTGCGCAAGCGCAAACGCATCTTCTGGCTGCGCATGCGCCTCAGCACTGAGAGTTCGCCGCTGGAGGGAACTGTGGAGCTTACGCGTGGCCTCGTGCCTTTTCTTGGTGGCGGGAAAAGTGGGTCGAGGTTGGAGGGGCTTGCAGAATTGTTGCAGTAGTTCTCTCTGTTCCTCGCTCCAGAAGGTAGCTATCTCTAATCTGGTTGCAGATGAAGATGTTAGGCGCAGCTAATCCTGGGATCTTTCGTCTGAGTTTCCTCGTCAGGGTGACAACTCTTACCCCTGCTCCTTAGAACCTCTAACCGCAAACTCACCCCCGGCCGACAAACAAAAGTAACCCCATTCTTTCTTAGCGGCGGGCAATGTCGGTCCGAGCGAGAATGAGGATTCTGGTGTCTCCGCGGGAGGGGCAGCTGAGGGGGAATTCTCTCACGATGGGGTTCTCGATGGGGGAAGAGAATCTAGAAAGACGCCGTTTTCCTCTTGGAGGGGCGTCAAGGACTTTTGACTGTGATACCCCCGACCTTAAGAGAGGCTTGGTGAAGGAAGGGCGAGGAAAAATGGGGATCACCGGAAAGTTCTTCCCTCAAATGTTAAGGGTGGGATTAAGGCCTTTTACTGTTCCGGACCTAGGCAGCCTGAGAGGAAAAATGGTGCGGCGATCTGGAAGTTGATGGCGACGTGCTGCTCTAGGCGAAAACAGCACAGAACAGGCAGGTGGCGGTCGGCAGCGAGGGCCGCCGGGAGCGCCTGCGGCGGCAGATAGCGGAGCCGGAGCCAGGCCCGGAAGGGTGCCTTCTTGTGATAGTGGCCCTATCTCTGCGCTTCCTGGCGCCCTCTGAACCGAGAAGCTGTAGTTCGCCATTTACAAGATTCTGTAGGAGCTTTAGGTGAACTATGGTAGTGACGACAGGAATGTCTTGTCAGGTAGTCTAGTGTAGGCAGCAGGGGAGCTGCAATCTTCTTTTTCCTTCTGTCTTGTTAAAAGTGAACCATCCTCTCTGAGGAGAAAAGAAAAGAAAAGAAAAGAAAGCAGCTGTTACTGATTGAGGCATGAAAATAAGCAGATTAGACATTAAAGCCAAAAGGGAATCCAACTCCAGCTTAAAGGAGATTTTAAATAGAGTCTTTAAATACAGGTTTTTGAAGCTTGCAGAGTTTAGGTTAGAGTATAATTCTAAAGGGTTGACTTTTATTTTCTTAAGACCAAGGATTCCAGAAACAATATAGAGGGAATAATTGGATAGTGAGGAGGGAGAAATTTGTGAACACATTTTAAATGGGGGGAGGAGGGAAGAGAATGAATGCTGTTTGAAAAGTATTTACAGGACTGAATTAAGTCATTTAGCTACGCCAGTTCTCAAACATGTTATACTCTTTTGTACTCTTGAAAATTCTGAAGGACTTCAAAGATTGGTTTATATCCATGGCAGAAATTAAACAGAAAAATGTAAACATTTATTAATGTTAAAATAACAATAAACTCATTACATGTTCACATTTTTATGAAAAATATATTTTCCCAAACAAAAGGAAAGTTAGTGTAAACATGTTGTTGTTTTACATTTTTGCAATATCTTTCATGTTTGGCTTAATAGAAGACAGCTGGATTTTCATCTGTTTCTGAATTCAATCTGTTATGATACAGGCATACCTTGTTTTATTGCACGTCCCTTTATTGTGCTTCACAGGTGTTGCATTTTTTTTTTTTACAAATTAAAGGCAAGACCCTCCATTAGCAAAAAGATTACAGCTTGCTTTATTGTGATACTCACTTTATTGTGGTGGTTTGGCACCAAATCTGCAATATATCCAAGGTATGCTTGTATCTTGTTTTGGTTGAAGTATATGAGAAAATCCAGCCTAACACAGATAAGTAGTTGGAAAAGGGAGAGGACCCCCAGGAGTCTTTGGATCACACTTTGAGAACTGCTGAGCAAGGTGATTTTTTTCTTAAAACCAATGTGATGATTTTCAGTGTTTAAGTGAAAGTCATTTATTAGCTGGTCAGATGAAAGTTGGTGGTATTTTGTATATTTATTAACTATTTAGAAGTATTTCTCTCTCTGAACTAGATTTCAGTATTTGTTATTGTAGGAGAAAATAATTAGTCTGGAGCAGAGGAGCAGAGACTTGAGTTGTCAGTGACTTCCTGGCTTTCCTTTCTCTATTGATCAGGTTAGAGATTTTCTTTAAAGGTAACGTTCTTCATCACAAACCCACTCTCGATTAAGGGGAAGTGTTACACATCATTGCTTACTAGTATAGATTTACTACAGTTTGTTAACTCAATAATGATCCACAATTTTATCCAGTTGGTTGGGGCTCCAGTAACACACTTTTGCCTACAGAGGTCAGTAGAGGCTTAAATAATTATTTGAACGTAACTTGGAAAATTTGTGCATTTTTAGATTGATCAAAAATACTCTATATTTTATTTAAAGAATTTAGAATTTAAAAAAATAACTTTTGAAGTGATAATATGTGTATGCTATAATATGTTAGAGATGCATAAGGGGGTACAATAAAAAGCTCCGTTCCATACAGTTCTACTCTCCAGAGGCATATTAAAAAGAGAGACATTTTTAAATTTTATTTTTTTTTCTTTTAAAAGATAGACATTTAAAAAGAAATGTTGTCATCTCAAATCTACTAATTTTCATTTTTCATTTAGTATAGCTCTTCTTGAAATTTATATTACCTTCATAGGGACTTCTAATGATTATTTTTGGGATTCTGGAATCTGAGAGAAGATGTTTGTCATTTGTGGTCAAATTCGTATTCCTTTTGCAACCAATTTGATTCAGTTTCTAGCTTCTACTTAGGATTATCATAAATAAGGAGACCAATTTGCTGTAGTGTTTCTCCCCCAATTTCCCATTTACCTTTTTCCTTAGAGCAAATACATCTGGGGGTTGGTAGTGGTGAGTTATGATGCAAAAAGTGAGAAAATGTGCTCCTTAATATGAAAGGAGAAGTAGTTATTGCAGAACAACACATCAGAATTATCCACATTCAGAAATTAAGAAATAGAACAGAAAAATACCAAAAGATAACTTAAAAATACTTTACACCCAATCATGCTGTAGCCACACTAAGTCAAGTCCCAACACCTTTTGAATTCATCTTAGGAACCAGGGTGAGGAACTTTACACCCCAGACAACTGAGTGTTTACTATAATTTGGCCTTTTGAAGGTCTTAAAATTTTCAGATTCTTTAAAGGAAACTGTATATAAATTTAAAGATCCATTTTATGCTGCTTTGTGGGTATTTTATAAGTGGGAGATGGCAGAGTTGGAAGATTGAATTGCAAGTCTAGGGCCTTCAAAGTACTCAAAACCAGCAGTCAGAAATAAGATCACTGAGAAGAATAGATGTTGTATTAGTAGAATTTGAAAGCAAAGGCCTGGGTTCAACTTGGCTCTCCCATGTATTAACACTGAAATTTTGGGCAAACCACTTAACCTCCCTGCATATTTTTCATCTGTAAAAAGGGGAAATGATATTTTATGACCTCTAATAACACTACCTGAGTTACAGTATTTATTATAACTGTTACAAAAATAAGAGTGAATTATATGCTTTAAACCTAAGAAAACTGGGTAGAGGGTTATAAATTTAGGCTGATAAAAAAGCAGTTCTCTTCTAACAAGTGGATAGAAGTAATATCAATAGTGGAAAGTATAAATTGGAAAAATGTACAAATTATTGGAACATCACCCACAAATTGAGTCTCAGCATTCTGCTGTGCCACAGATGGCTTATAGATGTATGAATATATTAAACTCTTCAGCACTTAAAACACTAAGAATTATTGCTAATCTTTAAAACAATAACTCTAATTATCCCCTGGCATGTAATTGGCATTGCTCAGAAGGCAGAAGTATAGTCAAGAAGGCAGAACAGCCCTAACTGGTTTGGCTCAGTGGACAGAACGTCAGCCTGTGGACTCAAGGGTCCCAGGTTCGATTCCGGTCAAGGGCATGTACCTTGGTTGCAGTCACATCCCCAGTTGGTGTGCAGGAGGCAGCTGATCGATGTTTCTCTCTCATTGATGTTTCTAACTCTCTATCCCTCTCCCTTCCTCTCTGTGAAAAATCAATAAAATATATTAAAAAAAAGAAGGCAGAACATGTAGTTCAGGGGTTCCAGGAAAAGAAATCCTGAACCCAAGAAGACAGGAAGAGAAGAAAGTTTAAACTCATGTTCAATCAGAGCTTTAGCAGTTAATTTCTTTTTTCTAACAGAGCACAAAAAAAGTGTAGCTTCTGAGCTGAATGATGACAACATTGCAGAGTAAAGAAGGTGAGTCAAAGAGTGAGGGAGGTTCATTTTATACATATCTTTCATTTTTCCCTTCTCAGATTCCTACCAAAGAGAAGCTCAGTTTACATATTTTTTATTTCTACTTTGTTAAAGTTACTACGTTTCTAGACACTTTGAGTAAAATATATATCTTAGAAATAGTCCTGCTCAAGGAATATATGAACTCATAAATATCTATAACATAAATTTGAGTGGGGTGAATGTCACCAGGCAGGTACAGAGTATTATGGAAGCTCAGAAGAAAGAGATATTACTTACACCTGGGAGGATCACTCCAATTTTCATTGTATCATCTGTAGATTTTAACTATATTTTTTTCATTTTCTCTTAATTTCCCATAAAATTTTGTCCAAAGTTAAAATAGACAAATTTTTAAATTTTTATATTTAAATAATTCAGTTTCTCAAATGCTTATATTTATCACCTTGCAATTACTCAGTGGTTCCTAAGCCTGGAAGTACATCAGAATCATCTAGATAGTCTTGTAAAATTTCAGATTCTCGGGCCTCACTTCAGAATATTTCATCAGAAACTCAGGGCAGGGGAAATGAGGGTGGGTGAGTAGAGACCTAGAAATATGAATTTATTAAAATATTTCTCCAGATAATTCTGATATGGTCAGTCAGTTGGCAGTGTTTGGCAGTCTCTGTGTTAGACTCTATGTTTCATAAATTCCATTTGATGATCAAATTTCTTTCAGAGTATGGGAAAGGATCAAAAAAACCCTTTATCCCACCTGCACAAAAAGTGCATAGCCTGATGCCCTATAACCCTAACTCACACAAAGAGGAGACTCTGGGGATCAGTTCCCTGGAGGCAGAGGCCGGACCAAACCTGCTAAAGGCCAAGTTAGAGAAGAAGGAGGAGGAAGCAACCACAGTGAATGGTCCATGCAGTGACCAGGAGAAAAAAGTAAAGGTTCAAGACAACAAGCAAGCAGAGAAGAAAGAAAAGGTATCAGTCATACTGATGGGCTCTAGTGGGACAGTTTCTTCTAGTCATTCATCCTGGACAAATAGAATCTTTCCATGTTGGGGAAATTCATCTTGTAGTTTCAGTTTTTTATTCCTTTTTTGGGACTTCCATTTTTTTTCTTAAAAAGATAAAAAATGTTTTGATGACAGTATTTAGCAGGAAATAATGGTAGGTATGTAGGGGCTGAGGTGGTTTGGATATGAAAGTAGAGGTGGACAGAAATTTAATCAACTTTATCCATTTTTTGACTCCTTTATTCCCAGGAGATCTGGGATAGAGTTTATGGAGTCCTTATATGCGATAGACTTCATGCTCTCAGCCTTGTGAGTTTACTGCCTCATCTAACGGAGGCTTTTCTGACTGGCCAGAGAGGAGAACTGGGAAAAGACGAGCAGTTTTCCTTCTCTACCCTTGTCTATGCAGGAAAAATCAAATCTTACCGATGAAGAGTTTGAGGAGATTGTCCAGATTGTTCTACAGAAGTCCCTCCAAGAGTGCTTGGGTATGGCTTATGGTGAGAGAAAAAGAGTTTCAGTTAGGCAGAGAAACTGTTACCTGGGATGTTGAGTAAATTGACAGCTTCCTTTCCTGCCTCCATCCTCTTAAGTAAGACAGTATTAGATGGGACTTCGACATACTTTAAAATACTTCATCTTCTATCAAGGACTATAGCTAAACCACCTTAGATAGGGGGTGCAGACTTTTAGAAAAGTAGATTACATTGACTTCAGAATGTAAATACAGTTTCATCTAAATTTTTTAAAATGTAAGTTAAATTCTTTTCTATATGTTCAGAATTTACTTAGAAAAGATAAATTATTTTTCCCAGGTTTGAAGAATTTAGTTTCCATCTACCCTTGTATATTTTCTGTTTCCCATACTGTTTCAACATGCTCAAGGATTTTATTTTTAGAACAAAGGACTCTATAGCATAGGCCCCAAGACCCTATCAATAAGGTCATGGGGCTAAGGAAAATGGTCTGATATTTTCAGCTATTCTTAGATATAATTCTATTCCTAGAGGAAAGTTTAAGGAAAAATTATATAAGACACAGTAAATAAAATAAAATTAACATTACCTGGCTATCCTGGAATGAGGCAGGTCAATCTGGAAAGGCTTTTAGAAGGACATAAATTTGTATTTTTTCCTGAAATTTTAAAGACTTAAAATTTTATGATATGACAAAAGTCCAAAAGTAGACTCTTCCAGGCAACAGGTGGAAGACATTTTAATGAAAGATTATAATTTAAAAATAATGGAGTGGTTATTTCTTAACATTACTTCTTTGCTTATAGTGTTTTGTTTTGGAAGAGATAGAATCTAGCCTTGATTTTGCAGAGACTTCCTGTGCCCAGCCCATAAGACATACCCAGTTAGACAAGGAACCAGGAATTGCTTCTTCTACTACTGATAATGATAATGCTGATAGGTAAGTTTATTCCTGTTAGGTGAGTTGATTACAGGGTGGACTTAATATTTATAAAAGGTTATCTATCTACCTACCTACCAACCTACCTATCTGGTCATTTTTTTTTCTGGTCATTTTTTGTATCTCTGTAAATTTGTCTCAGCTCAGGAAAGCTACCTGTTTGAATTGGGAAAAATAGGCAGGTAGATAGGTAAAATGACATCAGGAGGCCTTAGAGAGCCTAGGATTCTTCTATCCTCTTAAAATTTATTTTTGGATTCTTTTACCTTTTCATTTAAAAATATCTTATTTTCAGAGAGTGGGTAACGGTACCTCATATTCTAGAGATTTCAGCCTCTCAGGAAGATGGAATAATCCCATCTAAGCCAGACCAGCCAGATCTTGCATCATCTGAGAAGAAATTCAGTAAACTCTCCTTAAGGAGAAGAAAGAAAAAAGCTCGTAAGTATAGTCAGATATACTTTGACATCTGGCTCAAATACTTAATCCATAAAATTAGGGAATGGGACAGTGGGCAGGCTGAGAATTTCCAACCTAAGGCTTGAAACTATCATGCTATGATTTTTCTTCCTTCATCCTTCTTTCTGCTTTATTATCTACAAAGAATCTCTCCCACATAACCCTACCCTACAATTATTTTATCTTCCCAGAAGATGAGAAAATGAAGAAAGCCCAGCGAGGACATGAGCATAAACAGAAAGACCAACTGAAGAAAATGGTTCAGGATCATGCTCAGATCAGGGACCAACAAAAAGGAGAGGAAAGTGGTTTTGGTAAGTTCAGCCATGGTTTGGAAAACTACTTGGGCTTGAAAACTGGAGATGAAGGAGAGAGGCAAGGGTTAGAATGTTAGAGGGAATTCTGCAAAGATTATAATTAATTTCTCATTGCTACTTGTTAGAGGATATGCTGCTGAAGAAGAGAGAGAAAGATTTAATTCATTGAATTATTTGTTCATATAATCTATAGTTTTGGGGTACCTATTATATACCAGGCATTTTAGGAGGGCTGGATAAGTGCAGAATAAATGAGTATAAGCCTGTCACAAGGGAGATAGGCTTCTAAGGAAGGTAGATAAAAAAGCTATAAGTTGGGAGTAGAATTGGAAAAATTTCTAAGACAAGATACTGCTTGAGCCAGAACTTGAAGTATAATTTAGTCAGATGAACCAAGGTAGAAATGGGGGTGGATCAGAGTGATAATTTTCAGAGTTATGGAGGAGGACTAATGTTGGTAGCTTTTGGTTGTGCTTTGGGGTAGGAGGTTACAGGGGTAGGGGAGATAAGGCTAGAGACATGCAAGGGCCAGGTCTTAAAGGACCTTGCATGTGAAGTTAAGGGGGTTTGGGTTTTATTTTATAGATAAAGAGGAACCATTGACATTAAGTAGGGGAAAATTGATAAGATTTCTATTTAGAAAGCTCACTTTGGCAATAGCATGGAAGATGAATTCCTGTGAACAAGACTAGACTCAGAAATAGTGATCCAAGCAAGGAAGATAGACAATATAGACAATAGCAGTGATGAAGAAGAGACAAATTTGAGATCTTTAGGAGACAGGATCACCATGATATGGTTACCAGTTGGATATGAGAGCTGAGGAAGAGTGAGGCGTGAGTGAATGAGTGGCTGAAAGGATTATGATCTAAAATGGAGAGTATAGAAGAAAAAGTTTAAGGTGGTGAATTCATCTGTGAGCAAGTTATGGGGTCTTTGATGAGATTTAGAGCTCAAGAAAGAGGTCTGGGTTGGAGATAGAAATTTCAGAGTCATCTACATCAGTAAGAATAGATGAAATTTTTCTAAGAAGAAGGTAGGGAGTGAGAAGAGAAAAACACTGAGTAAAAAACCCTGGGGGACATAATGTTTAGGATTGAACAGAAGAAGAGCTGCCCAGGGAAAAAACTAAGAAGAACTAAGAGAAAATTAGAAAGGTAGAAGGAAAATTAGGAGAATGTGGTATCACAGATGCCAGGGGAGGAGAGAATTTCATAAAAGGGAGTATTTAGCCTTGTCAAACGCTACTATAGAGACATCAAAGGGGATAAAGATTTGAAAATGCTTAACCGATATCACAATTAGTAAGTCAGTAGGTCTTAATTAGAGCAATTATATGGGTTGGTAAGGGTGAATGGCAGGTTATAGTTGGTTGAAGAATAAATACTTTTTAAATTAGTTTAGATGAGAAAACTAGGAGGGAGAAAATGGTAAATAAAAGGAGGAGTGGGTATAGAGTTAAGGGAAAGTTATTTTGAGCTTTCTTTAAAAAGAAATAGTCTTGACCTGTGTGTTACCAGCATATTTATGTGCTCAGGGAAAATTGTTTATATATAGAGAGAATTATTCTGAGAAAGGACAGTTTAGCCTTTGAGATTGAATGGATGGAAGATAAGGATGGATATAGATGTATTTCTTATTTTAACAATAGTTATTAATGCCTTATATTATTTGCCAGGCATTGTGCTAGGTGCTGGAAATATGTTGGTGAACAAAATAGCTAATCCCTGACTTTATGGAATTTGCAGTTTTAGTGTATTGGACAGATAATAAACAAATATTTAATATGAAGTGATCTTGAGAAATTTTAGGATAAGAAATAAAATAGATCATATAATATATTAGTATTTTTAAAACTTTGAATATAAATACTTATAAATATAAGTAAATATAAATACTTATGAATATAAGTAAAATGAACAATATGGAGGAAAACAGGCTTGTGCCCCCCCCCCCACCTCAAAAAAAGACAGAATCCAAAGTGTAAGCAACAATGGAATAAACAGTCAGCTAGTGTTTAACATGTATATGTGTGTCTATATAATTTTAATTATAGAAGCATAATATGGTTTGTACATACTTGAAAGAAAATTCTAGCAAGACTATGCAGTCACCAAACAAGGTAGTCCAGGGCAATAAACCACTCCTCATGTTGTTATGACATGGTAATATAAGGAACTGGAGGTATTAGCCTAATTTGGGTACTCGGATGGTCTGGGTGGTACTGATCTTCTCCTGAACCTCTCAGTATTAGGGAAAGGATTGCACTTTATTTTATTTTTGTCAGAGATTTCTTTTTATATAGCTTGCCAAAAAGGGCATGCTTTAAGGTACAGGATGGCCAAGATTCTTCTTCAGACTCATAGTTACAACCAGAACCAAACTTATACAAATGCAGCCAGACAAGAAAACCAGTCATTATATGGAATGATTTGGGGGTGTCCCTTCTCCTCGCTCTGGTTGCTACCTCAATTCCACCATTGCTCTCCTGCATTTTAATTCAAGGTTTTCAAGCCAGGTGGAAGACAGATTTTCCTTGGAGAGAATTTACACATTAGCATTAATGATGAACGTGAACACAGTTTTTATATATAAACTGAAAATTGGAAGAGGTAGTACTTTCCAGAGAGAAGGATGTGGGGATAGGAGTGGGCGTTCACACATCACAGTTCTGGCTGCTCCCATCAGGATTGCACTTTAGACTGAAAGATGGAAGTTCACCCCTTAGGCAGTGCTTGTGAGTCAGGTTGTGATTGTAGTGAATGTGTAAGCCTCTTGCTATAAAAGAACTACGCTTCCTGTTTCTTATAGTTCCCAAGGAGAGGTGAGTCCTCCTAGAGTAGGAAGTTAAAAGGGAAGTATCTGATAAATACAACCAATTTCTGTTAAGTACTGTGAATGAAAAAAATGGAGTGTCATTAAAGGAAATAATGGAGACTCAATTAAAATGGGTCAGTCAGCCCTAGCTAGTTTGGCTCAATGGATGGAGTGTCGGCCTGCGGACTGAAGGGTCCCGGGTTCGATTCCGGTCAGGGGCACATGCCTGGGTTGTGGGCTTGATCCCCAGTAGGGGGCATGCAGGAGGCAACCAATCAATGATTCTCTCTCATCATTGATGTTTCTGTCTCTCTCTCTCCCTCTCCCTTTCTCTCTGAAATCAATAAAAATATATCTAAAAAAAGAAAGAAAATGGGTCAGTCAGGGAATTCATTTGTAAGGAAATAACATTTAAGCTGAAACCTGAAGGAATAGTAGAAGTAAGAGAAAGAGTGTTAGGTAGGGTAAAGTTTGGCATATTCCAGGTACTAAAAGAAAGCTGGTGTGATTGGAGTTCAGAGAGCAAGGGGAAGTAAGGCAGGAAAGTAGCTCTGGATAAATATAAAGAAGTAGGTAGTAACTAAATCAAAGACCATGTTACAAAGTGAGAATTTTTTCCAAAGTGCAGTGGGAAGCCACTGGTGGATTTTAACCAGGAGAACAACATCATTGAGTTAATGTTTTAGAAGAATCCAATTAGAGAATGAAGTATGAGGGGTCAAGAGTGGACAAGAAGTTAGTACTAGATTAGATTTTTGGTGGCTTGGATTAGGATGATGAAATTGGAGACAGAGAAATGGATGATTTCAAGATATGTGTTAGAGGTAACTGTCAGAACTTGGTAATGAATTGGATATGGAGGGGGGGATGAAAGAGGAGAGAGTATGTTAAAGATGATTGGTTTCTGGCTTGAACATGTACATGAAAAGAGGTGGGGAAAGGTGGAGGAAGAACAGATTTGTGGGATAAGATTAAGTGTTTGGGTTTTAGGTCCATTAGATTTGAGATCATTGTGAGACATCCAAATAGAGTTACAAAAGAGCAAGATGGCTATAGATATCTGGAGCTCAGAACAGAGACTGTTAGTATATACATCTCTGTGTTATCCGGTATGAAAATGTATTTCAAAGCTATGGGAGTGGGAAAGTTTGCCTCAGGAGAAAGTGTAACATGGGAGCAAACATCCATGATTGGACTTTGGAACGCCAACATTTAAAGCTTTAATGGAGAAAAATGAGAACCCAGTAAAGGAGGAAGCTGCCAGAAAGATGGAGAGAGGGAATAGGAGAATAAGTGATCACAGAATCCAAGGAAACTAGTATTTCAAGAGTGAGAGGTCAACTGAAATGCTCTTAATGTGTGTTTGACATCAGTCTTCATTATCATAGAGCCATGTTGAGAGCCTCAAGCTCCATTTTCAGACACATCATCTTCTCCTCTTTCTACACTGTTTGAAAGGGAACTTTAAAGAACTGTTTATTGTTGTCTTTGAAGATTTCATACCAAGCCATAAATATCTAGTTCTATGTCATTAGGATGATTTCCCCCCTCACTCATTTCCTCATGAATATTCATTATTTTCACAACCAACCACTTATTTTATTGATCTATGTTTACTTTTATAGTCCCAACCCCTTCTCACATTCTTTTTTTCTAGTCTTGCTAGGGCATCTCTATAAACATCCAAAAATATCATTAGCAACTATCTTTTCAGACTAATACATCATTCCCAACCAGTACCTTGTTCTTCAAAATTAATTAATCAAGAATGTGGTCCATAATATGCTTTTCTGAGGATGGTTTCAATAGGATGGAGGGCATTCCTTATGTTCAGGTATTTAAAGTAAGATTTGACAGTGGGAGAGTGAACTTACTAGGGAAACATATCGTGAATATATAGTGTACCCATGTGCCTAGTTATGTGATTTTTTTCTAGTAACACTCAATTTAATGAATATAGGCACAGAAAAGGTAGAGTGGGTTCATTCAGAGTTGTGTTTTACCTGCTGGGTAGGAGGAAGGACAAAGGGTCTAAGGAGTCAAACCTGAGTAAGTACAGAGTAAAGAAAAGAGGTTGCTTCTGGATTGAGGGGAGGGTAAGAGATCTAGATAAAGTGAAAGTTGCTATAGGGGTCCTTTGAGCAAGTGAAGTGGGAGGACAGGGAATTTTTATCTGAGAGGGATATTTGGATAAGTGGTTCAAGGGAGTATGCAGTCCCTGCAGATGACTGGTGGGGCATACAAGGTTAGGAGTGGGTTACTGAAGTGAAGTGGGTTATGAGATAGCATGGAAGAAAAGGTCAAAGAACTCAGAGAATGGGATTCTTTGTGAGTTACCCCTATGGAAATAGTGATCATTTGGAATGAGGCCAGGAGGTAGAGAGGAGAAGGCTGAACCAGATGTCAGCATCTTTTCAAGGGAGATGAGAGGGTGGTATATATAGTTCCATCACCTGGACCTCAAGGGAGGAAGGTTTTTATAAGGAGGAGATGGTAATGGTCTGGAAATGGCAATAGGGAATAAGGATGATACTGAATCCATTTTCTGGCCTGAGAGACATGAGATGCATGAGAAGGAACCAATTCTATTTAGAGAGCTGCGGGTGGGGTGGGGTCGGGTAGAGGCAATGTCAGTGCATCACCAGGTTTCAAAAATGAGATAGAGGGTCAGAGAAGAGGTTAAAGATATGTGGACTTTTGTTGCTTTTGTCTGGAATTCTAAAAATAACAGTGGAAGGGTTTAGGAAGGAAAGAGGAGAGGCTGTGTCGGGTACAGGAACAACTCAGAAAATGTGGGAATAGAGAAAGGTGGGGATGATAGTTTGGCAGGTAAGTGATAAAAGGAATGCTTTGCCCAGCCGTGGTGGCTTAGTGGTTGAGTGTCGACCTATGAACCAAGAGGTTATGGTTTGATTTCTGGTTAGGACACATGCCTGGGTTGCGGGCTCAATCCCCAGTGATAGGTGTATAGGAGGCAGCCAGTCAATGATTCTCTCATCATTGATGTTTCTATCTCTCTCTCTCCCTCTCCCTTCTTTGAAATCAATAAAAAATATATATATTTAAAAGGAATGCTTTGTCTTTCAGCAGGGCCTGAAGTAAATAGTTGATTGAGAAATGATGGACTTAGACCCGTGTTTTTGGAGGGGGGTGAACTTGGGGCTGTTGGTCCCAAAGGTTGCAACTTGATGATTTGGTGACGGATAAATCTGCTGAGATTCAGATAGGAACTCTGGATGTTGTACACAAAAGATGCTGGGTAGCCCTTCAAAAGAATTTTTCAGCATTGACATGCTAGCAGAGAACAAGGAACTAGCCAGAAGGATGGAAACCAACCTTTTTAAAGAACTGTCAATATAGGAAACACTTCTTTCTGCCCTGGGTGGAGGAGAAATGATGGCATAGTATGGTAAAAGACTGAAATGTGAGACCTGGGTTGTAAATTTAGCTCTGCCACAAATTTAGACTAATCTTTAGCAAGTCAATTATCTTCTCTGAGCCTTTCTTTTCCCATTTATAAGTAAGGATTAGACTAGGTGATCTCTAAGGCTATGTGATTCTGGTGAGGACTATATTGATTTTAAATGAGTTGAAGAAGGAAGAGCACATTTTTGAGTCTCATTTCAGTTTTTTCCCCCGTCACAGGTCAGTGTCTAGTCTGGGTCCAGTGTTCTTCCCCAAACTGTGGGAAATGGAGGCGGCTTCATGGGAACGCTGACCCCTCAGTCCTTCCAGATAATTGGTCCTGTGACCAGAATACAGGTAGAATGGAGTGGAAATGTTTATGGTGTGTTTTTTTTTTTGTTCCACCCTTTCTTTCCCTGCATATATCCTTTAAATTAATTATGTTGTAGGTGTAGTTTCAACTCCAGGGGTCCTTATAGTGTCTAGAGAAAGAAAACGATCTTCTTGTCATATCAAGATGAATCTGGCATAACGGGCTAGAAGAAGACAACCTAAAGAATTATGTTGTCGGGAGGGGCATGGAATCTGAACATATTTTCTGAGACCAGCCAATGTGGTTCAGTGGTTGAGCATTGACCTATAAACCAGGAAGTCATGGTTGGATTCCTGGTCAGGGCACATGCCTGGGTTGCAGGCTCGATCTCCTGTGGGGGGTGGGGGAGGGCGTGTGTGAGGCAGCTGATCAATGATTCTCTCTCATCGTTGATGTTTCTATCTCTCTCTTCCTCTCCCTTCCTCTCTGAAATAAATAAAAACATATAGAAAAGCACACGTATGTTCTGAGAGAATTCCATCTTTTTCAGCATTAGTCTGACCCTGGAAATCCTGATTAGATTATTGGTATTGGGTTGGATAGGAAGGGATATGGAATATACAGGGAAAAGCAGGTAAGAAAGATCCAATGGCATAGAATTCTAGAATGTTTGAAACTACTTGAAAGACATTATGATGCTCTAATTCAGCCCAATTACTTTACAGATGAGAAAACAGTGTCTCAGAGAAATTATAGTCATAATGTTACATAGAAGGGTCAAACAATGTGGGATATAGAAGCCTGGAATCTCTTTCTCTAGAGCAGCGGTTCTCAACCTGTGGGTCGCAACCCTTTGGGGGTCGAACGACCCTTTCACAGGGGTCGCCTAAGATCATCGGAAAACACATACATAATTACATATTGTTTTTGTGACTAATCACTATGCTTTAATTATGTTCAATTTGTAACAATGAAAATACATCCTGCATATCAGATATTTACATTACGATTCATAACAGTAGCAGAATTACGGTTATGAAGTAGCAACGAAAATAATTGTATGGTTGGGGGTCGCCACAACATGAGGAACTGTATTAAAGGGTCGCAGCATTAGGAAGGTTGAGAACCACTGTTCTAGAGTATAAGGAGGCAGCACTCCTACTTCTAGGTTGCATTTCCTCCAAGGGTCTTTGTTCTTCTTCCTCCGTGCCCATTTCCCAGGTGCCCTTTTGGTCATACCTGCTGCCTATACCTGTTTCCTGTTCTATCTCCTGCCCTCATCCAGGCTATTTTCCTTCTCTTTTTTGGCAGACTTGGAGTACAATCACTGTGATATCCCTGAGGAGACCTGGATAGGGCATGAGAGTGATGTGGCCTATGCCTCCTACATCCCAGGATCCATCATCTGGGCCAAGCAATATGGTTACCCCTGGTAGGGCGCCATGGCATACTTGGAACAGCCTCCATGAACTTGAGAGTGGTAGATTCAAATAGAGAAGGAAGGAAATGGGAAACATTTACAATGGAAATGGTACCTGCCTTAGCCATGGCTGGGTGCCTCAGTTGGAGCATTGTCTGGTACACTGAAAGATTGTGGGTTTGATTCCTGGTCAGGGCACATACCTCGATTGTGGGTTCAATCCCCATGGCGGGGTGCATACAGGAGGCAACCGATTGATGTTTCTCTCTCTCCCTCAAATAATTTAAAAATCCACAACATATCCTCAGGTAAGGATTAAAAAAAAGAAAAGACATGGTACCTGCCTTAGAAAAAGCATGGGGTGGGGGAGAATATAAAGTACTAAGCTTGGAGGCTTTGAAAGAGCATGTTCTCTAGAATTTCATAGTGGATGTTGTATTTCCCTGGAAAAAAGAGTCTGACAATTCTATCCTGAATGGGTAGAAAGAGGAGAGTGGCTCTACAGCATTTTTAAAACATTGAGATATTAGGGATAAAGTAAGAGAACAAGGGAGGGTAGGATGGGTAATTTCTTCACTGGAGCTGTCCCTAGTCAGAAGACTTTGTTCTCAGACTTGCTGGAAGGCCTAAGGATAAGATACTTTTACAAGGAAGATCCTAAGCTTCTTTGTACATTGGTGACAGTTACTTCAGTCTTCAGTCATTTGGTAGTGACCACTGGGAGGGATTGACGGGGGTGGTGGTGTCTGACTTTGGTTACAAAACATATTGCTCCTTTCTTTACATGTGTATTAATGAGTTTGTGTTCTATTCATCTAAACCCATCTCTTCCGTCTCCTATATCCATCTATCTTCTTCAGGTGGCCAGGCATGGTAGAATCTGACCCTGACCTGGGGGAATATTTTCTTTTTGCTTCTCATCTTGATTCCTTGCCGGTGAGTTTTCCTGATTCAGGTAGGTGGTCAAGCCAAAGTAATGACCAAAGTCATCCTAACAGATGCACAGAGTTAGAACATAGGCATAGCCAGCAGACATGAGCAGAATCAGACACTTAGCTGGAGTGACAAACAGAAATAAATTCTCACACATAGAAACAAACTTGTATCTAATTAAATATTTATTAGGACATGTATGTTTTGATAAATTTGCATTGGTTAGGATTACTGAGGTCAGGATGGAAGAATAATGAAATAAGTGGGTCAGGTGGATCAGTATAAAGGAGCAGAAGAGGCCCAGCATCTCCTTCCTTGTGACTCCACAGTGCTTCCCCTCCTTTTCTGGCTGGAGGGCCAAAGCAAGGAGAAAGACAAGAGGCCATAACATAACCATCTTTCATTTCAGTCTAAGTACCATGTGACATTTTTTGGAGAAACAGTCTCTCGTGCTTGGATCCCAGTCAATATGCTAAAGAACTTTCAGGAGCTGTCTCTGGAGCTAGCTGGAGTGGTGAGCAACCTTGGGGGTCAGTTGTGATACAGCAAACTTAAAAACGAAATTTTCCCTTTATTAAACCTGATATTCTCCCAGGGGAAGCTGAATCAGGAGAAAGTCTCATGTCTGACCAAGTGTGCAAGGGTGAGGTTATTCATGAGGGACTCTTCTATCTACCAGGATTGTAACAAGATAGTCATTTTTTTAAATCTTTTCCCCTGCCTTCAGATGGGAGGCCTTCCTGAAGACTAGTTTTCTACAGTTTAGCCAAAGCAGGTGTGGCGGAAACGAGGGCATAGATTAACTCAGGGTTTCTCAGTCTGGAGACTATTGACATTTTGAGCCAGATAATTGTTTCTTGTGGAGGGCTGTCCTGTGCATTGTAGGATGTTTAGCAGCATCCCTGGGCAACTAGCCAGTAGGAATCCCCCACCCCTGGTTGTGACAACCAAAGAGTTGTCTCTAGAATTGCCAAATGTCCTCTCGGGGGGCAAAACCTCCCCTGGCTGAGAATCACTGCATTAGCTATAAATGAGCAGAGGTCCAGCAGCTTAGGGGCCGTAGAAAATTAGGTAGTGAGTATTAAATCAAACAGCTGGATCTAAAGAAACTTATGAAAAGCTTAAAAGTGTAATCATCTGAAGTCCTTTAATCTTGCCTTTTCAAATTTCCATGGGAATTACTTTGGAGAGGACATCAAAATGTTGGTTGAAAACATTGCTAGGAATTGGTGAGGGTTTTTTGTTGGGGGCTAAGTGAGAATTGTGTCTCTGAGCTCTAAAGATTAATAAGAGTATCATGTCAATACCAGGAGCTGGAAATAAATGTAGTTAAAGATAATATCTGGGTCCGGCCAGCATGGCTGAGTGGTTGAGCATCAACCTATGAACCAGGAGGTTATGGTTCGATTCCCAGTCAGAGCACATGCCTGGGTTGCAGGCTCGATCCCCAGTATGGGGTGTGCAGGGGTCAGCCAGTCAATGATTTTCTCTCATCATTGATGTTTCTATCACTCTTTCCCTCTCCCTTCCTCTCTGAAATCAATAAAAAATATTTTAAATATTTTTTAAAAAGATGTCTGGTGAGCAGTATACTGGGGCCACATCTCAATATTTATCATGACTCTACTCTTCTTCCATTTCAGAAAAAGTGCAGAAACAAGGACTGCAGCCAGAAACTGGGGGCAGCCATGATAATGGCTCAGGAGGCAGAACAGATCGGTATTCAGGTGGGAAAGTGTTCAGACAACATACCAGTTCCTCTTTGGGACTTGAGACTCAAAGCAAACCATGTGTTCGCTGCTGCAAAAAATTGGTTTGTACTTCTCTGTTATATAGTCTTAGTCTTAGAACTACATAGTCTTTTCTTCCCAGGCCAAATTCCCTCAATTCCTTAACTCATCCATTCTTTTCCTTACCCTTGGATAAATGGGATCTTCTCTCAGTCCAGACAGAGACAGTTTGTGGAAGGGGGCTAAGATATAAAGTCAAGTCTCAGATATATGTACCTTAACATCTCTTTTATGCAGAGTCAGTGTTTACCCTCAATTTCTGCCTTTGGGGGTGGGTGGAGAATGACAAACAGTGAATTTATCTTTCCCAGTTACTTATTGAATTATAAACTGGAAAAGAGATGATAATATGATTATATATTACTTTACTACAATATGTTATAATAGTTAATCTCCACAAAAATCTAGGTAAATCTAATGTGAAATTTCAAGTGAAAATGGTATGGAATATAAATTCAAATCCTATAACTAAAATCTTGAAGACAGAGGGCAACAATAGTCCCTGGAAGAGTAGTAGATGATGCTTTTGTTTCTTGGTTCCCTCAGGAGCGGGTTAAATTGTTTGGTTTCTGGAGCAGATACAGTGGATCTGACAATAATGGGGAAGGAAAAGGTAGGATATGTAGGAGGCAAAGACTAAAGAGGGAGAGGAGGGATTCCTTCGTGAGGACAGCAACTGAAGCTTTTCTTTGTTTTATATCTGACTAGAGGACTGGTGCAAAAATTCGTGCATGGGGGGGGGCAGCGGGGAAGGGGGATCCCTCAGCCCGGCCTGCACTCTCTCCAATCTGGGACCCCTCGGGGGATGTCCGACTGCCTCTCGCATTCCGGGACTGCTGGCTCCTAACCGCTTGCCTGTCTGCCTGCCTGATCACCCCTAACCCTTCTGCCTGCCTGTCTGACCGCCCCTAACCACCTCTGCCTGCCTGCCTGATCATCCCTAACTGCTCCCCTGCTGGCCTGATTGCCCCTAACCGCCTCTGCCTCGTCCCGCACCAAGGACCCAGGATTCCCTCCTCCAGCCAGTTGCAGGCACCCGGGACCTAGGCTTCCCTCCCTCTGGCTGGCTGCAGGCACCCAGGACCCAGGCTGGCCACAGCTGCAGGGGACCATGGGTGGGCGGCTTTGCCTTGGGCTGCAGCCACAGGTGCCCAGGACCACAGGGCGGGCGGCTTGTCCCTCTTCCAGGCCACAGGCACAGGCACAGCCACTGGCGCCCGAGACCGCAGGGCAGGCAGCTTGTCCCTCTCCCGAGCCGCAGCCTGACTGGTCCCCATTCCTCTCTCCCCAGTGTTGAGTGTCTGAGCCGTTAAGGCATGAGGGTGTGACAACCATTTGCATATTAGCTCTTTATTATATAGGATGTTATCAGCCTAGTTCTAGATTTTTATAATAGGAGGTTTTCCATGAATACCATTGGGCCAGTGTTGGGGATGAATAGATGAATGGATGAGTGGAGAGAGGAATGGAGGAAAAAAGGGGGCAGGGAAGGAGGGTGCACATTAAATAGTGATGAGACTTTGAAAAGGGTTGAACTGTGATAATCTCCTATAGGATCATGATTTATGGAGAAAATACTACTTGGACATGAAGGGTAGAGTTAGAAGACTGATTCTCTGGGATCAGCTCCATTAACTCATCACCTATTTTATTGACTAAATGATTTAGCTTTCCTTCCTATTCCTGTTCTAGACTTAATGCTCACTGGGGCTAAGAGCCCAGATTACTTCTTGGAGAAAGAAGAGGAAGAGTCAGACTTGGAGAAGGAGGAAGAGGAGGGAGAGAAAAAAGTAAGATTGATCTTTGGGGCTCCTTTTAGGAGAGTCCTATAGGGCATCTGTTGGCATGTGTTATATTTACTAAGGAAGTATCCTGTCTCTGCCTCAGGAAACCCTAACAATCCTGTCTCTTAGGGTCTCCAAGGAATTTCCTTGATTATTCTCTCTAATATATCACATCCCTAGGAACTTATTTCTTTTTTAAAGATTTTATTTATTGATTGATTTTAGAGAGGGAGGAAGGGGGAGAGAGAGAAACATCAATTTGTTGTTCAGTGGTTGATTCTTGTATGTGCCCTGATTGGAGATCAAATCCCCAACCTGGCATATCAGGACAATGCTCAAACTAACCGAGCTACCCAATCAGGGTTAGAACTTCTTTCTTTTTTTAAAAAAAAATGTATGTGTGTATGTATGTATGTATGTATGTATGTATTTATTCCTCACCAAGAATATTTTTTCCATTGATCTTTAGAGAGAGTGGAAGGGAGAAAGGAAAGGGAGAAGGGGGGGCAGAGGGAGGGAGGGGAGAGAGAGAGAGATAAACATGGATGTGAGAGAGACACATTAATTGGTTGCCTCCCGCACATGTCCTGACCAGGGCGGGGATTGAACCCGCAACCCAGGTACATGCCCTTGACTGGGAATCGAACCTGTGATCCTTCGGTGCACAGACCAAAGCTCTGATCACTGAATTGCACCTGCCAGGGCTCTTTTCTTTTTTAAATTTATTGATTTTAGAGAGAAAGAAAGAGGAAGGGGGAGAAAGAGAGAGGGGGGGAGGGGAGGGGAGGGGAGGGAAGGGAGGGAAGGGAGATATTTGTTGTAACACTTATTTATGCATTCATTGGTTGCTTCTTGTATGTGCCCTGACTAGAGATTGAACCTGCAACTTTGGTATAGTGGGAGGACATGCTAACCAACTGAGTTGCCCAGTCAAGGCAACTTCTTTCTTTCTTTCTTTTTTTAGGGCAACTTATTTCTTGATTACCATCTCAATTCCTACCGTAGTTCTTTGGTTCTGACTGGAGCAGTTTCAGAGAACACCAGTTTGCCTCTCTTTATTCTCTTCCCACTATGTGGACACTTAGGATATTCATTCACTTGTTTCCTTAGTCTCTTTTCAGGCACATGAAATATACATTTTTTTTTTTCATATTTGAAGAGACTTTTTAGAGTGGCGCTAGGTTCACAGCAAAATTGTGAGGGAGGTACAGAGAGTTCCCATTTACCCCTTCCTTAAACATACATAGCCTCCCCCATTATCAATATCCCCCACCAGAGTGGTGTATTTGTTATAATCAATAAACCTACATTGACATACCCTAACCATTCAAAGTCCATAGTTTATATTACTATTCACTCTTAGTGTTGCACATTCTATGGGTTTGTACAAATGTGTAATGACATGTATCAATCACTATAATATTGTACAGAGTATTTTCACTGCCCTAAAAATCCTGTGTGTTCTACCTGTTCATCTCTTCTCCCTCCCCAAGTATGCCTCAACCTTTGACAACCTCAAAGGTTGTCAAAGGATCTTTTCATTGTCTCTGTAGTTTGCCTTCTCCAGAATGTCATATAGTTGGAATCACAGTATGTAGCCTTTTCAGACTGTCTTCTTTCATTTAGAATTATGCATTTAAGGTTCTTCCATGTCTTTTCATGGCTTGATGCCTCTTTTTTTCCTGAGTAATGTTCCATTTTCTGTACGTTCCACAGTTTATTTACCCATTCACCTACTGAAGGATATCTTGGTTGCTTCCAAGTTTGAGCAATTATGAATAAAGTTGCTATAAACATTGTATACAGGTTTTTATGGGAACTTAAGTTTTCAGCTTCTTTGGATAAATACCAAGGAGCTTGGTTGCTGGATCATATGGTAAGAGTCTGTTTAGTTTTGTAAGAAACTACCAAACTGTCTTCTAAAGTGGCTATATCATTTTACATTCCCATCCCACTAGCAATGAATAAGAGTTCCTGTTGCCTCACATCCTTGCCAGCATTTGATGTTGTTAGTGTTTTGGATTTTGGACATTCTAATAGATGCATAGTACTATCTCGTTGTTTTAATTTGCATTTTCCTTATGACTTATGATGTTTATCATCTTTTCATGTGCTTACTCGCTATCTGTATATTTGGGGAAAGGTTTCCATTAAGGTGTTTGGTCCATTTGTAAATGGGGTGTTTTCTTTTTAAAAATTTTTTATTGATTTTTAGAGACAGAGGAAGGGTGTTTGAGAGAGACACATCGATGTGGAAGTGAAACATCAATTGGTTGCTCCCTGCATACTCCCTACTGGGGATCAAGCCTACAACCTGGGCATGTGCCCTGACCAGGAATCCAACTGGCAACCTTTTGGTGCACAGGAGGATGCCCAACCACTGAGCCACATTGGCCAGGATGGGTTATTTGTTTTCCTGATGAGTTTTATGAGTTCTTTATATTTAGATAACAGTCCTTCATCAGATATGCCTTTTGCAAATATTTTTCTCAGTCTGTGGCTGTTGTCATCCTTTCTGTAGCATCCCATTTTATTAAAAACACAATTATGTAACTTCATTTATCTTTTCTTATTTTTCTCTCCCATACTTAGGACCCAACTTTGCCCAGTCCCAAGCCAGCCAAAATTCAGACAAAACCCCCCAAGGCAAGAGGTAAGCAAGCCAGCAAGGGGACATGTGTTACAGTTAAGGCAGGGAGAAAGCAGAGAGTGTAATGGGCCTGCAGGTAGCTGGAACTTACTGTCTCAGATCTAGAACCTGAGAAAACATGGCAGGATCATGCTAGTGTCATTGGAGAATCTGTAGCGTCCTCATTTCTGAATATTGAATTATAAAATCTTAGAAATGAATGTTTTAAATTCTTAGCAAGAAGGATAACTTTCTAGAGAAGAACCATGAGGAGAACCATGAGGAGAAGATGATGGGGGTGGGGGAGAGGGGAGAAATATTGGGGAGGGGAGAGGAACTGAAGGAATTTACTAGATTAAGATTAGCAGAAGATGCAGGACAGAGACTTAAATGTGGGGAATCAATGGACCCTTGAAAAGTTGTTATTTAGGGAGAAATAAATGTTCTTCATGGTGGGGGTGTGGGGTGATGCAGGCATAGCAGATGGACGAGATGGGACTCAGCAAGGGAAGTCAGTGAAGAGATCTCTTGGAAATGAACCTGCAGCTGCTCCTGTACCCATAATGGGAAGGAAAAAAGTGCATGGGAATTCAGATCCTGACCAGCCAGGTAAGGCTCTCCAGTGGTTCTCAACCTTCCTAATGCCGCGACCCTTTAATACAGTTCCTCATGTTGTGGTGACCCCAACCATAAAATTATTTTCGTTGCTACTTCATAACTGTAATTTTGCTACTGTTATGAATCGTAATGTAAATATCTGATATGCAGGATGTATTTTCATTGTTTGCAACCCACAGGTTGAGAACCGCTGCTAGACTTTGGAAAAAGTTTGGGGAAATAGGGTTCATGTCTATATCTCCTCTCCCTGGATAATTTTAAATCAATTCTACACTTTTTAATTACTTTAAAAAGAACAAAAACTGGCCAAAATGGCATCTCTCAGATTGTAGAATGCAGTACACACTATCTATAATAATAAAAGTGTAATATGCTAATTAGACTGGACATCCTTCCAGACGACCTTCTGGAGGAAGCCGGGGCTGTGAGAGAAGCCCGGGTC